TTCACTGATTATTAACAAAAGTTCGTCTGTTATTCTGGATGTCCTACACGGTCAAATATCCTATAATATTTCCCAATGCTCGCGGTAAATTTACCACTGCCCCACTGCCTGCAGCTGACACGGACATGCACACTAGAGAGAATCTTAGTTCGCTGACTACTATCCGGAGGCGCTGCGTACCTCTCTAATAAACTCACTGGCTGCCATAGGGATCGGCTATCCAGTTATATAGAGATCAGTGGATGTACTTCAGCTTTCTCAGAATTGCTCTATTGCTTGTATTGAGTTCCGCGTATAATTGCCCTGCGTTCCAAGTTCTGTGAACTATTTAATAATATTATGACCCGCGCTATTTCGTTGATCATCTCGATAATTCTAATTAAGACAGCTCGTGTAAACAGTAACATTTTATTTAAATTAAATTGACTGAGTTGACCAACGTGCACGTGTAGTAATTTGTAGACCTTCTCCCGCTCCCGTTAAAATCCATTCGAATCTCGCCCATCGCTCGCAAATTCCGCGAAAATCAGATCCGGTATCGATCACTAAGAGTCAGTTGAGTCTAAGGGTCAAACAACTACAAAGGGTCAGGCGGATTTAAGGTTCAGGTGAATGTGAAGGATCACGTGAATCTAGAAGTCAGTTGAGCCAAAGGGTCAAACGAGTACGAAGGGTCAAGCGAATCTAATGGTCAGATGAGTAAAAGGCTGAGTTGAGTTTAAGGGTCAGTTCAATCCAAAAGTCAGATGACCTTTGGCTGACCTGACCCTCAGAATCGATCTGACCCTCAGACTCATTTGACCCTTATTCTCGTTTTAGATTCATCTGACTCCCAGGCCCAATAGGGCCTTCGGATTCATCTGACCCATACACTCAACTGACCCTTACACACAACTGGCCCTTAAATTCATCTGACAGTTGAACTCAACTGAGGTTTTTAAATCTTGGATTCTCCTGACCCTTCGTACTCTTTTGACCCTTAGGCTCAACTCACCTTTAAACTCAACTGACATTCAATCTCAACTGAGGCTTTCACATATCTAACCCTTAGATTCGCGTAATCTTTTGGAC